GATGAACCTTATTGGAAATACGTGTTCTCTATATTTAGAGAGGTGAAACATAAGTCCTGATATGTAAGGCTGCAAAGCGTTTATTGACTATGATGCAAAGAACAAATGCCTAGTATTTTAAATAGGATTTCTATTGTTTTTATAATGATTTGGCTCCACATTTGTATATTTTTAGGGTTTTCCCTTTCCCAAATGTCACCAAAATTAACGTGTGGTTTGAAAGAGAAGGGGGTATTTCAGAAATATATGTATTGAGGTATAATAGAAATTCCTGTTAGGAATTCTTAGGCATTGAGTAGAATTTTCTCAATTTATTTTTGTTTATATATATACACACACACACACACACACACACAATGTGTGTACACATACACGTATGTTTTTTCCTGCTGTTATTTAACATGGCATATACTCCTAATAGAATGTGTGATTCAGGAAACATTATGTGAAATCACTCATTAACAACAGAGTATTTCTCATGTAACTTTAACTGGGTTCCATGCAAGGTTGGAACAGAGTGAGACTAAAGGCTTTTGCCTTCCTGTTACAGAGCCAAGACCCCATGATGACTTTTTACCTTCAATCTCTCAGGAGAAAAGGAGGCATGTATGAGACCAAAAGATGCATAACTGTTCTCCCCTGTATCTGCCATTGTTCATAATAAATTGTATTCTATGAAAGTCTCACCTTTTAAAAAAGAATTAACTGCACACGATTCAATTTTAGCATTGTTTAGTTCTAGTCTGATAAATTATAATTAGACAACCTAGTTGCCCAAGAGTCCAGCATTTCCCACCTACACAGGAAGCATGTGGCATAACACAGGCAAACTTGTCCCAACCTGCTGACACTATTTCCTGTACGGGGGCAGAGGCATCACCCAGCCCAGAAACTCTGACTGAACTTCTTGAGCACCAACTGCAGAGTGAAAATCTGGATTTGAGATAGAACAGAGGACATTTCATTCAAGGGAAGAGCTGCCAACATGCCGATCGCCAGTGTGTTGAGGGCAGTCTTAGCTTTTGGCTGTCTCAGTAAGGATGGCCACAAACACAGGACTCAAGCTCTGCTCAGTTCAAAGGTTGTGGGGAGAGACAGTCTGATGACGGCTCAAAGCGAGGAATAATGGGCGATGTATCCAGAGTGCTGGGGCCTCAGCCACTTCATCCCTCAGACCCTCATGGTTACAAAGATCGTCTGTTTCTTTCATCTTTCCTGCAGGATCCAGCATGTCCCAGAAGGTAGCTCAAGCCCAGCCTGCCATTTCTGTGCTGGAGAAGGAGGATGTAACCTTGGACTGTGCCTATGAAGCTAGTAGTTATACTTATAATTTATTCTGGTACAAACAAACACCAAGTGGGGAAATGATTTTCCTTATTGGTCAGGAGTCTTACAATGAGCAGAATGCAACACAGAGCCAGTATTTTCTGAACTTCCAGAAACCAGCCAGCTCCATCAGCCTCACCATCACAGCCTCACAGCTCAGTGACTCAGCAGCGTGTTTCTGTGCCCTGGAAGAGGCCACAGTGAAGTGGGTGCCTGTAGGAGCCTTACTAATCCTCAGCATGAGAGGGCCCTGAGGAGGAAGAGGCAGGGCTGTGTCAGCACAGCTGAGGTTTGGTGAGGAAACCTTAGTTCAATTCATATAGAATGTCTAGATATATACACTGTATGTATGCTCTAGTCTTTAGTATAGATTGAGATAGAATACACAGCATATTAAATATTGTAAAAAAAAAAAAAAACAGCAACAAGAAAATCTGTTAATCTTGTGTTGGTTTTTATTGAAGTGGGAAAATTACCTATCCTTAGACCAAATTGGTGATTCCACCTAGTTGTTAAATCTTCAGAAACCATTCATACATTTAGGCATTTATTAGCATGTAGAATGCTTAATCTGCTTGTAATAAAAGTGCCTTCATTGATTTTTCTCACAAAATGGTATCATTACTCAATGAGGTAGAAGGAATTTGTAAGTTTGGGCTCCTTAAAAATTCCAGGTAATTGGAGGGTGGAGCCAGGATGGTGGCATGAGTAGAGCAGTGGAAATCTCCTCCCAAAACCACATATATCTATGAAAATATAACAAAGACAACCCTTCCTAAAATAGAGACCAGAGGACACAGGACAACATCCAGACCACATCCACACCTGTGAGAACCCAGTGCCTCGCAAAGGGGGTAAGATACAAACCCTGGCCCTGCGGGACCGAGCACCTCTCCCCCGGTCCCTGGCGGGTGGAGAGGAGTCAGCAGAGAGAGAAAGAAGGCCTAGGACTGCTGAACACCCAGCCCCAGGATTCAGGACCAGAGCGCAGACACAGTGCATGCATGGGGTCCTGGATACTAGGGAAACAGGGCGGCAGGACCAGTGAGCGGGTGGCTGAGGTTGACGCTGGAGAACAAAGAAACGGGAGCGGTTTTTTTTTTTTTTGGCGAGTGCTTTTTGGAAGCCTTAAAGGGACACGGACCCCAATACTAGGGAACCAGGGCAGCAAGACCAGTGAGCGGGTGCCTGAGACCGGCACCTGAGGACAAAGAAAATCGTGCATTTCCCCCCCCCCTTTTTTTTCTTCACTTTCATTGTTGCTGTTGTTGTTTTGGTTTGGAGAGTACTTTTTGGAAGTCTTAAAGGGGCAGAACAGGACACTTAGCCCAGAGGCAGGGAATCTGGGGATCTCTGGGCACTCTAACCCCCTGGGTAACAGGGAGCACAGAGGACCCTTACGGAGATAAATAGCCTCCCGGCCGCTCCCCCTCCAATGGGGCTCTACCATTTTGGAGGAGCAGCCCCAGCCAGGCCACACCCACAGCAACAACAGAGATAAACTCCAAACTAACCGGGCAGGTAGCTGAGGCCCTGTCTGTGCACAGCTGCCAAGCATAAGCCACTAGAGGTCGCTATTCTCCCAGGAGAGGAAGGCCACAAACCAACAACAAGGGAAGCTCTCCCAGTTGTCACTCATACCGGGTCTGCAAACTATCTCTATCACCATGAAAAGGCAAAACTAGAGGCAGACAAAGATCACAGAGACAACACCTGAGAAGGAGACAGACCTAACCAGTCTTCCTGAAAAAGAATTCAAAATAAAAATCATGAACATGCTGACGGAGATGCAGAGAAAAATGCAAGAACAATGGGATGAAGTCCAGAGGGAGATCACAGATGTCAGGAAGGAGAAAGAAGCTGGTCACACAAGGGGCCTAAGACATATGCTCTCATAGAGACTGTACTTCACAAAAAGATAATTGTGCCCACCAGACGTGTCCATTCATTCGTTTTCACTCATTCTCCAGATATTTTTTTTGAGCACCTAGTATGAACAAATGGCCTGTATATTTTGAGAAATTAGCTATTGACACTGATAAGATTAAAGTTCTTGATTTCAGGAGCACCAAGTCTAGTGTGAAAAACAGGACACAAGTGATTCCACTATGATGTAGTAATGACAGCGGTAGACATGTATCAAGGCATAGTGGGGAAAGATGTGGGCACTAAATCAGCCTGAAGAGATGGGATAGTTCTTTACAAAGAGACTGTGTGAAAATTGGTTCTTAAAGAATGAACAGAAATTACTTCAGCAAAGGTAGGGGAGAGAAGGTGGGTATTCTAAGTAAAGGGGCTCATTCCTTGGCTCCAGGGGAACAGTCAGGGAATATGTCCACAGAAGATCTCAGGTACGCTTTCTTCACACTTTCACTGTAAGATACCTAAAACTGAATATTCATTGTGGACAGACATTGGATGCTGGGACCAGAGGCAAGGGAGTTGTATTGCCCTGCATTTTAAAGAGGGTGACAGAGGAATTACCCACTGTCTCCGCCTCAGGCACCACTGTGAAGTGTGCAGGAAGTGTTCGGGCTACCTTCCTGGAGCCATACCCGGCACCCAGACACCTATTTCCCTTTATGTCTGCAACTTCAGCTCCCCTCCAGGGAGCAAAGATGTACAGTAGGCCGCAGGGTCAGAGCGGAACCACAAGAGGAACCACAAGAGGGCGCTGCTCCCTTCGTTTGGCGGTCTGACTCAATTCCTCTTCCATTGCTGAGCAGACGTATTTTTACAGCCTGCCGCATCATCTAGCCGGGCAGTTTGTCCTGCTTAACACATTAGCTAAAATTAGTGAGAAGATTCCTCCAAAGTATCAAGCAACTTGAGGAGCAGTCCTTTCAATTTTGGTCTATCCTCCCCCCCAAATTTTCACTGCTTCTCTGCCAGCTATGCTGTTTGCTTTCTGTTCAGGACTTTTAATCTTCCTAATACTGAGTAAGTAACATTAATTCAAAATTTCTAAAATGCCCTATTCCTTGGCTTTAGACTGATTTTTCAACTCCTACCAAACTAGAGACCCTCCTTTTTACATAGGCAATATAACAAAGTCTTTGCTTTTTTTAGGGGGGACCGATGGAGACTCCATGATGCAGACTGAAGGCCCTGTCACCCTCCTGGAAGGGAAACCTCTGAGCTTGAACTGCACTTACCAAACCAGCTATTCAGCTACTGTTTTCTGGTATGTCCAGTATCGAAACAAAGAGCTTGAACTCCTCCTGAAGAGCTCATCAGGAAACCAGGGGACAGGGCATACAGGTTTTCAGGCCAGTCTTGTGAAGAGTGAGAGCTCCTTCCACCTGCAGAAACCCTCAGTGCAGACGTCAGACTCAGCTGTGTACTACTGCGCCCTGGAAGACACAGAGCTGCGGGCTGCAGGGGGAGCCGAGCACAAACCCCAGGGGTGCTGCTGGAGGAGCTGGACGGGGGCAGCTCTGGGCAGGGTGTTATTCTCTCTCTCTCCAGTGTTCTATGCCGGAAGCCTCCTCAAAGTGCCTCAGAGCCCAGGAACCTTCAATTCTCAGATTACTCTAAAGAGGAATCAGGGAAGGGGGTGGTATAAAGTGGAGTTTGAACTCTGTTCTCCAGACAAGGCTCGGTCTTCTGCCCGGTCTCATTCCCCCAGATGGCATGTAATTCCTGGGAAACGACATTAGCTCTGCTTCATGACAGTTCAGTTGGTACATGCTGAAACATTTCAGAGCCTGTTAATGAAAATTCTCAGGGCACATAGTTCATGGACTAATGACCTTGAAGCTAGTCCTTTGTTTTTATAGGTCAGACCAAGATAGTATGCATTTCTGAGTTTCACCTACAGAAACTCTACCTCTACAGACAGGGACCTTTATTCTCCCTTCTCCTTTTCCTTTCCTTGTGGCTGCTCCAGGAATGTGCTGCCTAAGAAAGTTCTATGAGGAGAACTTCCTGATGAAACTTTCCTTACGTCAGGGGCCCTGCGGTTTCAGGACAGTCCAGTAAGTAAACACTGCATCAGTGGTGTGTCTTGCTTGCACTGTGCTGACCCACTTCCACACATCTTCCTGTCATCACGGCAGGTTTTCATTGTAATGACAAATAAGGATCTGTGCTAGGAGAAGTTCTGGATTCTGGGTATGACCATAACTGTGTAACCTAACATACTATTTTTATCATTGCATTTGTACCTATGATCCTTCTAAGAGGTGTCAAATTCAGCAGCCAGGGAAACATTCAGGTGTCCATTATAAAGGGAAGAGGATGCATATAGACTCTTGTTCCCTGGGACCCCAAATGGCTAAAATAATCCATTTCTCCACACCAAAGGAGCACAGAACAGAAATGTGTGCCTCTTTCTAAAACCCTCGTCTTGCCAAGAGAAACTTTTCCTAATATTCTGGAATTCTCTGAGCCTTGTTTGTCCTTGTATGATTCTATGAATTGACACCCGCTGGTGTTCCAGGCCTGATGCTGCTTCGATTTCTAAGAAGAAAATAAAATTATAAATATGAATTTCTGGGGCACAGGAGAATAAGGGGTCTTAAAATATAAGCCTAACTTGCTTCATGGTAAGTCTGCCTCTGGGCTTCCATGGAGATCATCTTCCTCTTTAAGACTGAAATATTATAATAATCTTAGTTTGTCCTGATATTGGCAGGTTCTTTAACTCCCAGTCCTCTTTCCACTCCAGCACTCGAGCTGTTATGATTTTCAGCTTTATCACTTTACAAATAACAGCTTTATTGAGGCAATTCACATATAAAAAACCTCAACCTTTTAAGTGTACAAGTCAGTGGTTTTTAGTATATTCAGAGCTGTGCCATTGTAACTATCATTCCTTCCCACAGACTCTGTATCCATTAACGATCACTCCCATCACCCTCTTCCCCAGCTGTTGGCATCCACTAGTTTACTTTCTGTCTCTATGGATTTGTCTGTTCTGGACACTTCCTATAAATAGAATCAATTGTAAAGGGCCTTTTGTGCTTGACTTCTTTCACACGGCATAACCTCTGCAGGTGCATCCATGCATCAGTACTTCACACTTATGGCACATCATAGTCCACTGTATGAATACCCCACTGTATGAATATTTTCTTTATCCATTCATCAGTTGATGGGCATTTTGATTATTTCTACTTTTTGGTTATTATGAATGGTGCTATGAGCATTCATGTACAGTAGCTATATTATTTTAAACTCTAATGTACTTTGATTTAGAGGTTGCTGGTTGGTACCAGCATTTATTTATGGATATAAAATGAGTAAATACATGAGGAAACTCCTTAAAAATAATTTACACCAAAGAGATATTAGTATTCCAAGCTATACGTACATACATTTAAAAAAACTTTTTAAGCACCTACATCTATGTGCCAGTCATTTTAATAAGTGTTGGGAATATAGTTTACATGACAGTATCCTGCTTTAGGATTTTAGAACCCAGTGTATTGAAATACCATACAAGCTTTTAAAATAATGGCTTTTTTCCACAATTCATTTTATTCACTCACTGAACTCTATTTGTTCCTGAATATTTGTAGCACTTACAGTTTTACGGACAATGGGCTAACCACTTTAAATTCCTTCCCACCTCTCTAGGTAGATATGACCAAATTTGCATTTTACAGGTGACAAACTGAGGTTTAGAGATGTTAAGGAACTCAATCAAGATTACATAGCCAGTTAGCAGCAGAACCTGGGCTAGGGCTTAAATCTCTCTGATGCATAACCAATATTCTTAACAACTGGTTAATAGAACTATCTAGAAATCTGTCCTTTTTTTTTCCAGAATACAATTGCATTCTTAGATTTCATGATTGCTGACATTTTCATTTGATGAAGAAGAACCTAGTGCAATATTAAAGCTGCAGTTTATTCAGTTGGCAATCATAGGCAACTATATACTCTCTCTAATCAGTATATAGAAGCCAAAAACTCAGTCACCATCCTTCATATTCAGGAACCATGAAGTTGCCCATATGCTCTCTGACTGAATAGCCTGGCTATTCTAGGAGCCATAGCTGAGTCTCAGTGGCTGTTCTCAGGAGAATATATAATTTGCCATGGAAATAGGAACTATAGTTTCCAAATACAAACAAAAATACTTGATATGGCAAATATGTCTACTCATTGAGCGTTTATAACACAGCATTTCTGTTCTTTGGTGTATTTCTCACTAAAACAAGTTCTTTTTCACACAGTTAGTAAATACAGGTATTAGGTCAATATGATGTAGAAGTTTCGCTGATTCTCTATGATTTTTCAATTGCTTTATTTATTTGCATCAAAGCCAGAGAACTATCAGGGGCAAGTTTCTTACTATAAAAAAAGCCTCAACTCTACTTCCTTGTTAGCAGAGTCTGTTTTATTGGCATCAGGAATTTCTAGGGTTTTCAAAGTAAAGCTACCCGGTGAAGCCGTGAGGAGAAAGACTGTGGGATTATCTGATTTATGAAGAAAAACATTTGAAATTTTGATGAACCTTATTGGAAATACGTGTTCTCTATATTTAGAGAGGTGAAACATAAGTCCTGATATGTAAGGCTGCAAAGCGTTTATTGACTATGATGCAAAGAACAAATGCCTAGTATTTTAAATAGGATTTCTATTGTTTTTATAATGATTTGGCTCCACATTTGTATATTTTTAGGGTTTTCCCTTTCCCAAATGTCACCAAAATTAACGTGTGGTTTGAAAGAGAAGGGGGTATTTCAGAAATATATGTATTGAGGTATAATAGAAATTCCTGTTAGGAATTCTTAGGCATTGAGTAGAATTTTCTCAATTTATTTTTGTTTATATATATACACACACACACACACACACACACAATGTGTGTACACATTATACACGTATGTTTTTTCCTGCTGTTATTTAACATGGCATATACTCCTAATAGAATGTGTGATTCAGGAAACATTATGTGAAATCACTCATTAACAACAGAGTATTTCTCATGTAACTTTAACTGGGTTCCATGCAAGGTTGGAACAGAGTGAGACTAAAGGCTTTTGCCTTCCTGTTACAGAGCCAAGACCCCATGATGACTTTTTACCTTCAATCTCTCAGGAGAAAAGGAGGCATGTATGAGACCAAAAGATGCATAACTGTTCTCCCCTGTATCTGCCATTGTTCATAATAAATTGTATTCTATGAAAGTCTCACCTTTTAAAAAAGAATTAACTGCACACGATTCAATTTTAGCATTGTTTAGTTCTAGTCTGATAAATTATAATTAGACAACCTAGTTGCCCAAGAGTCCAGCATTTCCCACCTACACAGGAAGCATGTGGCATAACACAGGCAAACTTGTCCCAACCTGCTGACACTATTTCCTGTACGGGGGCAGAGGCATCACCCAGCCCAGAAACTCTGACTGAACTTCTTGAGCACCAACTGCAGAGTGAAAATCTGGATTTGAGATAGAACAGAGGACATTTCATTCAAGGGAAGAGCTGCCAACATGCCGATCGCCAGTGTGTTGAGGGCAGTCTTAGCTTTTGGCTGTCTCAGTAAGGATGGCCACAAACACAGGACTCAAGCTCTGCTCAGTTCAAAGGTTGTGGGGAGAGACAGTCTGATGACGGCTCAAAGCGAGGAATAATGGGCGATGTATCCAGAGTGCTGGGGCCTCAGCCACTTCATCCCTCAGACCCTCATGGTTACAAAGATCGTCTGTTTCTTTCATCTTTCCTGCAGGATCCAGCATGTCCCAGAAGGTAGCTCAAGCCCAGCCTGCCATTTCTGTGCTGGAGAAGGAGGATGTAACCTTGGACTGTGCCTATGAAGCTAGTAGTTATACTTATAATTTATTCTGGTACAAACAAACACCAAGTGGGGAAATGATTTTCCTTATTGGTCAGGAGTCTTACAATGAGCAGAATGCAACACAGAGCCAGTATTTTCTGAACTTCCAGAAACCAGCCAGCTCCATCAGCCTCACCATCACAGCCTCACAGCTCAGTGACTCAGCAGCGTGTTTCTGTGCCCTGGAAGAGGCCACAGTGAAGTGGGTGCCTGTAGGAGCCTTACTAATCCTCAGCATGAGAGGGCCCTGAGGAGGAAGAGGCAGGGCTGTGTCAGCACAGCTGAGGTTTGGAGAGGAAACCTTAGTTCAATTCATATAGAATGTCTAGATATATACACTGTATGTATGCTCTAGTCTTTAGTATAGATTGAGATAGAATACACAGCATATTAAATATTGTAAAAAAAAAAAAAAACAGCAACAAGAAAATCTGTTAATCTTGTGTTGGTTTTTATTGAAGTGGGAAAATTACCTATCCTTAGACCAAATTGGTGATTCCACCTAGTTGTTAAATCTTCAGAAACCATTCATACATTTAGGCATTTATTAGCATGTAGAATGCTTAATCTGCTTGTAATAAAAGTGCCTTCATTGATTTTTCTCACAAAATGGTATCATTACTCAATGAGGTAGAAGGAATTTGTAAGTTTGGGCTCCTTAAAAATTCCAGGTAATTGGAGGGTGGAGCCAGGATGGTGGCATGAGTAGAGCAGTGGAAATCTCCTCCCAAAACCACATATATCTATGAAAATATAACAAAGACAACCCTTCCTAAAATAGAGACCAGAGGACACAGGACAACATCCAGACCACATCCACACCTGTGAGAACCCAGTGCCTCGCAAAGGGGGTAAGATACAAACCCTGGCCCTGCGGGACCGAGCACCTCTCCCCCGGTCCCTGGCGGGTGGAGAGGAGTCAGCAGAGAGAGAAAGAAGGCCTAGGACTGCTGAACACCCAGCCCCAGGATTCAGGACCAGAGCGCAGACACAGTGCATGCATGGGGTCCTGGATACTAGGGAAACAGGGCGGCAGGACCAGTGAGCGGGTGGCTGAGGTTGACGCTGGAGAACAAAGAAACGGGAGCGGTTTTTTTTTTTTTTGG